GATTAGATATGGGATATCTCCAGTCTGGGCACTACGCTGTGTGATAATATCTGTTTTTAAATGGTCCCAGCTCGTGTCCAGATCAGGAGAAAACAGCCAGTGTGATAATCCCCTACAATGATAGAGCTCCATCATCATAGCTACATCAGTCAATGCCACCCCCCACCCAACACATGCTTTTTCACTAAGGCACTACTCCCAGTGAAGTGTTTCCAAGACACTGCAGATCGGGCACTAGGAAATGGTGTCTTTAGTGCTGTCCTTGCTGAAAGGCACATTGAAAAAAGGCAGCTGGAGATATCCCTCAGGGTCCTGTTGGAACTGGTTCTCTCAATGCACCCCCCCCCAATGGAAGAACACTGCAGACAGCATTTTCCAGCATCCCAGTCTCCAACACCTTGGAAACGTGGTTGGGGTGCTGCCTGGCTCAAAAAGTAGATTTTGAGGTCACATTCAGTCCTTTGCTACAAATGTAAACCCCAAATTTATGGGATTGTCAATGGGGAATACCTTTACCTTTACCTAAATCTGGTTTAAAAAGCTACTGAACATTTGTGTTATCAATATGCCAATATGCCAATTTTTCAACTTTTAACCATTCATTCTTTTAAAGAGAAAAATGCTAAGCAAAATTTAAATTCATATTTTCAATGTGATTCTTTTTAAACTCAAAAAACCTAAATTCAGAATTGGCATCTCTGGATGTTTTTGTTTTGGCAGGCTTCAGAATAAATGTTCATAACCTTTTGTATTAATCTCTCTCTCTCTTTCTCTCTCTCTCCTGAAGGTTGATTGCCAAGCTATTGACAATGTACAGTTAGATGGACCTCTGGAGGACAAGAGTTTTTCTGTTCAAGAAGGTTCAATAGGAAGGATGTATTTATATCGGGTAATCTGATTCTTCAATTGTAAATGAAACAAATATGAACAATTATTGAAGGATATAAAAATGGACTGTTTCTTGGCCTTTTGGCTAAGATCGACAGTAGCATAGAAAATGAGCTGATTCATATTACAAGTTCTCAGATAAATGAAAGACCACTAATGATGAGGGAAGAGATATGCAAGCAATAATAATAATAATAATAATAATAATAATAATAATAATAATAATCTGATTTGTTTCTTTTTTTTCCCTGGATTAGTTTACATTCGAACCTCCTGTTGTCAAATTGAGACTGACTGGTGAGAAAGATGGCATCATAGAAATGAGAGCAGATGGAGTTCTGTATCTTAATGGGTCTCTAGACTGGGAAACCAAAAAAGTCCACAGACTGCAGGTAAAAAAAAAAAGGATATATGTATGCTAGTGTATAAGGAAATAGGTATTTCGAGAACAAATTTTATTAGTTTGAACTACAAATTCTGGAAGAGAGAAAGTAGGATCTTGTACAATTCACTACACGACTCAGTGAGCCTGGGAAGAGAGAGGAGAGGTGTGTGGAAGTTAAGGCAAACCTCGGAGTATCACTATGGATGAGCAGCAAAAGAGCCAACAAGGAAAAGAAGGTATACAAGAAGGGATCTTTATTACATATCTCTCTGTCACTTCCTGGAAGCACACAACCACTTGTATAAAATAAGATTTCATGTTTTTCTCTTCTGATAAGTGCATCATTGAAGTCCTGCTGGATCAGAGCAAGGCCCATCTAATGCAAGATCCTTATTTATCACCAAACTAAGAAGTTCAGAAACAGAAGGAAAGGCAATACCCTTCTCCTCTCTGGTCGTTTGTCCCAGGAACTGGTGTTCAGTGGAATATTACCTCTGAACAACAAAAGCTCCATTTAGCTGTCACCACTAACACTAGCTTTACTATTTGAGATGACAGTTCCCAGAATCCACAGCCAGCACTACTACTAATCAGCTCTATTAACAACCATTGGTAACATCAGTTGCTGTGTTGTCTCTGACCTATGGCAACCTTAAGGCAAACCTCTCATGGGGTTTTATTGGCAAGATTTGTTCACAGGGGGATGCCTTTCCCTTTTTCTGAGGCTGAGACAGTGTGACTTGCTCAAGATCACCCAGTGGGTTTCTATGGCAGAGTGGATTTCTTTGAACCCTGATGTTCAGAGCCACAATCCAACACTCAAGCCACTACACCATGCTGGCTCTAGTAAAATCAATACCAGCTCTAGATAGCATTAGCTAAAGAGGCTGCCCACTCTTTTCTAAGTCTTCAAAAGATCTGTTCCTCCATATTCAGATTTTGGTAGGCCAGAACACCCAATCTCTGCCCCTCCACCCTCATCACACATCAACACTGGTCCACCACCCTTTCTTTGTTCATTGCCCCCACTAGCCAATAATGTGAAATATAATATTTCTATATCATTCGTAAGGTCTTCTTCCAGCCAACCCAAGTAACTAAAAACCAACAAACATACAAAGCCAATGTGAATGAGGCAATGACTTTTGGATATGATTTACTTTTGATATAATTTCTTCTTCCTATCCTCATTAGGTGGAAGGTCTGGATGTAAATGGACAGAGAGTGAAAGGCCCATATTCTATCATTATAAATGTTAAGGATATCAATGACAACCCACCTGAATTTGATCAGAAAAAATATTATGGAGTAGTGAGACAAAACTCTCGTGCAGGTATTTATTTCCACAATTATTTGAGCTTGAATACTTTCTAAGTACTTAAGATTCCTAGAGCACTCTCCCAGATGTTGTGATTCCCAACCCAACAGGCCTAGTTGTTTACTATACAGAACTGTTAATGTTAATGAGAGTTGGAAATAGACTACATCTGGAAGACTACATATTCCTTATCTACCCCTATCCTAGAGGCCTGGGATGATTAACAAAAATATAGAGCATTAAAATTAATGTAATAGCAGTTGTCATGGTGTGTCTATGGTGTATTTTCAAGTGAACTGGCAAAATAAATATTAAAATAGTATTTTATTTATTATTTGTTATAAATAAATATTAAAAAGGATTGAAAAATTGAATGTTTCACTAAAGTTTCTAGTGCAGTGGAATACTGCACTGCTTGCAAAATGGAAGAGGCCAGGATTTCTCAGTTCCAGATCAATGTCAGTCAGGGTAATGTCAGTGGGGTAATGAATCCAATTTTAATGATCTATCCCTCAAAGAGATTCAAAACCTGGAGCTTTCCTACATGATTAAAATGCTCCTCATTCAAATAAAATAGACTGAGATCTGATCATAAGCAATTTGGAGGAATTCAGCTTTTTTGTGGGAGGGTGTGTGTAAAAAACTCAATAACTCTGTTGAAAAAGGATTTGCAGTTTTTACTGGAGTGTCTGTGAGTATCCAAAAGGATGTGCATTATTGAACATATGGCTGGCTGGCTGCTTCACATGGATTTCCATGGCTGCTCATTTTCAGCAGAAGGAGGGCAAATAGATGCAAATTTGCACGTTATGTGGAAAATGTCTTCTCTTCTTCTTTATCTTTTTCATTATGACAGTGAGATTTCTACAAAGATGCATGCCTCAGTAATTAGATATGTAAATTAAAACCATGTTTTCTTTCCTGTTATCAGTCACAAAGTTCTAAATGCAAGATATGGAGGTGAGGAAAATCCTGTGTTATGAGTAACAGCCCTTTTTAGCACATGCAGAAGCATGTCTTCTAAATATAGAAGAACTGTGTTGTCTATTATGATCCTGGTAAAGATAGGTAAATGTTTACAACATGTACAAATCTACAGACAAACTAAAAAAGCGGTGCCCAAATTGTAATGGGAGTCCATCCCACTTGTTTTCAGGTTGACACAGACTGACAACCATAAATAAATAAAATTGGCTGAATTGCCATACCTTTTTCAATTGTATTTTGGGCAGTACTAAAAGAAAAAGCAGAAGCCATAGCCAAGAATGTGAGGCTGAAAGCTGAAAATATAGATCCAACCAACATGAAATATGAGGGCAATGCAAAGCTGTTAAGGAATGGCCATGAGGCCTCAAAATCAATGGTTGCAGTGTCATTACTTTTAGTCTGAATGTTTCAAAGTTTGTAGTAAATCCTGCCACAATGGCCTCATGTTGCTATTTCCAGTGAAAATGACAAGATCCCTTTTAATAGTCATCTAAAAGGAGGGTGCCCTATTGTTCTGAAGCAATAGCAAAAGGAAATCTTAATTATCTTTTAATAGAGAAGAGCACCTTCACTTTCTGTTGTCTTAATGTGTTTCAATTTTCTTTTTCAAATTCAAACAGGAAAACCCTTCATGTATGTCAAAGCTTCCGATCGTGATGATCCCACTACCCCAAATGGGCAGCTGAGCTATAAGATCCGACAACATTTCCCCAACCCTTTCCCGGAGATGCTTTTTCAGATTGACAATGTCACAGGAGCAATTTCCACAAGTGAAGCTGGTAGGCAGATCTACTCTTGATAGTCTCCAAGTTGAAAATAATCTGCCTTGAAAATTGTGAATTGACCTTAATCATCTGAGCCTTTATTAGTTCTAGCATCTTTTCACATTCTAAAATCTCCAGTTTTGCACCATAAACAGCAGTGTTGCAAAACATGTTCAAAATTGTTGCCTGGATTCTTAGTAAAACCTGAGTTTGCAAAATTCATTTTTAAAGGGACTACAGCTCTCAGGATCCAGAATTTAGTTGGCGATTATAGTAACTATAGTCCTTTAAAAAATCCTCTTTAAACACTGATAATGCCCTCTTGATCCTTGCCTTTCTTGATATTATAAAATGCAAATGTTAAAATGAATAAAGGGGGTGATGTGGGTGGCTAATGTCTCCATGAAGGAAGATATGGTTCTAGCAGGTTTCAAGGTGGAACTGAGTAGGCTACAGCTAAAGAAAAAACCTTCTTTAATCCTACTATAATTGTTGTTGTTTATTGTTGCATGCCTTCAAGTCATTTCTGACTTATGGCAACCCTAAGGTGGCCCTATCATGGGGTTTTCTTGACAAGATTTGTTCAGAGGAGGTTTGGCATTGCTTTCCCCTGAAGATGAGAGCATGTAACTTGCCCAAAGTCACCCAGTGGGTTTCATGGCCAAGCAGGGAATTGAACACTGGTCACCAGAGTAGTAGTCCAACACTCAAACCACTATGCTACTTTGGCTTTAATAGTAATAGAAAATTTCCAGTCTACTTCAAATGCTGTGTTCATGGGCAAGGTGTTCTTGAGCAAGGTGTGGTGGTTTCTCAGTTCCAGGTCTTTCTAAATGATTGCCTAAAGGGCCTGAACAGACTGCCAGAAATAATCCAGCTTGAGACCACTTTAACTGTCCTGGCTCAATGCTAAGGAATCAAGGGGATTGTCATTTTTTCTGAGACACTGAGCTTTCTCTGTCAGAGAGCTCTGGTGCCACAATAAACTATAGTTCCCATGTTTCCCTAGCACTGAGCCAGGGCAGTTAAAGTGGTCTCAAGATGGATTATTCTGGCAGTCTGTTCAGGCCCTAGATCAATATCAAGTTGGCTTCAGTTCATGGTAATCAGTGCTGGAAACTGGACCAGTTACTTTTTTGGATTATGGCTGAGCTGGCTTGGTGATGGGATGTTGGCCAAAAATGTAGCACTTTCAGGCTCTGTATTTGCACATGGCTTTTGTTAAGAGAATGTTGCATCTGTTAAAAGTTTGTTAATTCTGTTTGATTCCAGGAGCCCTTCATTTAAATCCAGCAGATGTAAGTAGCTTTCTCCTTGATGTGGAAGCACACGATATGGCAGGACAGTCAGTAAATGCATTCAGTTGTTCCACTGCTGTCGAAGTGACCGTGCTGGAAAACCTCTGGAAATCTCCACCACCCGTAAAGATCAAGGAGAACTCTACAGAGCCTCACCCCATCAGCATCACTCAAGTAAGATGGTCAATTTTCTCTCCATTCTGCAAGCTCCCTTTACTGCGGTATCCCAGTGAGACTTTGAGAAATTTGTCTGGTTTGTTTGAGAAAACACTGAACAGAGGGAGGACAGAAGCTTAAACAAAGCTTGGTTGCTGTTGTCACCATGGAATCAAGTATTGTCTTGACAATATCTGGAGGGAGATTCAGGATAGACAAGAAAAAGTGATTTTGAATGTAATTGATTCTTCTTGGTTATTCTTCTTTAAAATATCAGGTGCAATGGAATTATCCAGGTGCAAAATATGAAATCTCATCAAAGGAAAGGCCTCCTATGAAACTGCCGTTTATGATTGACCAGAATGGAACTATCTATGTAACTGAACCTTTGGACAGAGAAGAAAAAGACAGTGTAAGTATGTGGAGAAGGAGTGGGGAAATATTTTAAAATTTAAGGAAACTAAACTTTTGCAACAAACTCTGCACCATTATTGTTGACACTACACTATACACAATACGCAATAGCTACTATAGTAATGTTACTGTTGTTGTTATGTGCCTTCAAGTTGTTTCTTACTTATGGTGACCCTACCATGGGAGTTTTGAGGCAAGATTTGTTCAATAGGGGTTTGCCATTGCCTTTCTTTGAGACAGTAGCTTGCCCAAGGTCACCCTTGGGCCTGACTGAGTGAGGATTTGAACCCTGGTCTCCCAGTGTCCTAGCCCAACACTTGAACAACTATACCATGCTGGTTCTCATTATAGTAATTACTAATTTTATACCATGAGTTCTAATTTTGAAATGGAAATTATGGAGGATTTTGCTACACAATTAGTGGGCAGAAATCATTGAAGTCCTTTAGGAGACACATCTGGCTCCATCCCTGTTCGTGTTGTGGTGTGTTGTTAGCACCTTGTTACTTTTAGCAGGATTTTAGAGGTAGTTGTTAGGTTGTCTTCTTTTGTTGTTGCTATTGCTTTTACCATATATTGCTATTGCTTTTAGCTTGTGGTCATTTCAGTTTTTGTTTGGTTCTTGTTATTGCTGGTTTGTTAGCCAAGATACCAGCACTTAAAAATGTTAAAAGTCCAGTGGGCATCTTTGGAACTGGCATTTCTGGTAATACTGTCAATGTAATTAAACTAAAGCTGTACTCATATCTAATATGAGTAAGCAACTTTGATATCAAGGGATTTACTTCTGAGTGGACAATATAGGATTGTCCTGCCCATTAACTTTCACGATTACTGCATTTTAAATTATAATATTCCCATTACAGTATTCATTTTATGCATTTGCAAAAGATGAAGATGGAGACATACTACTGGCACGGCCAGTGACTGTTACTGTTACTGTAGAAGACATTAATGATAATCCGCCTGTGTGTGACAAAGCTTTGACTATATTTGAAGTTCAAGAGAATGAAGGTTCAGGTAAGAAAGCATGACATCAGATAAGTAGTGCATACACCTTCTTCAGAAATACTTTGAATTTGGAGACCTGTACCCCAAATGCACGTTGAACCAAAGTCTTCATATGTTGCATGTGTCCTTTGCTTGTATCTATGCAGAGCCTGTGCAAGTTACTTTTAAAAAAAACTACAACTTCCAGAACCACAGTGTCTATGCTGGTTGGTGAGTTCTAGGAGTTATACTTCGTAAAAGTAACTTTGCTAATCTGGCGATTGTGAGAACCTGAAATCTTTCCATTTCAATTGATCTGTGGAAATAATTGAACCTTTCAGTTTTGGTTTCATTCAAGGTCCCCCCACCCACCCACCCACCCACACTAAGATTTAGGTTTATTTTTTCATGCATTTAAAAATAGAAGCCTGCACAAACATTTGTAGCCAGTTTTTAATCTGTTGGTCCTAATATATGTGGGCAATATGCCTTAGCAATGCTTTGTGTGTTATGTGTATTCCTTTTGCCTAATGTACACATTTTTGTACATCTTTTATTATTGGAAGCTGCTCTGCAAAATTCAGGACACTGCAGTTATCAAAGCATAACTGCATTTTTGTTAGTAAGAAGAGAATGAATTTCTTCCTTATCCCTTCTGTTTTTTCCTACTATATTCATTACTTGCTGACAAGTCGACTTCAACTTATGGTGACGATGGACGTTATCACACTGGGGTCTCAAAGCGGCAAGAAAGCGGCAAGA